TGAAATTCACCTTCAAAGTAAATTCCCAACCAGTGCCAGCTGTTATGTCTTCAATCCTCTGTATATGGAGTGTCCTGTTATTTTTTCCCTGTATTTTTAAGCATTCATCAGTGGGTTTTTCTGACGTTGCCCTCAAGAAAGGAGCTCCTATTCAGCTCCACGAAGGGTCACAAATAGGGTTAGCTATATTAATATAGCTGCTGTGTGTCACTTCACTGGGTGAAGTCCAGTACCCCAGATCGCCCACAACCCCCCTGGTGAGGCAGTTTCTCTCTGCTGCCCTGATCTGTGTGCAGTGGGGCTGATCTGTGTGGCAGAACTGTACTGGGTCTGTACTGTGCGTGGAGATCTTTAGGATCTTTCAGGATTAAAAACTCTGCTGTTATTCTAATTACTGTCATTAAATAATGTCCTTAAGTTTTTACACAGACTCGCAGAATCCTGTAGAAATAAAGGTGGCAGACTAAACAAGGACAGGCTGATTAAGGAAGATCTGTTGTAGGTTAGTAAAATACTGACCTGCTCTCTGGCCTGGGGGGCTAGTGTGCTGACACTGACAGGAGACCTGTGTTGTCTTCCAGGAGCTGTGATGGGGGAAGGTGTGATCACTCAGGTCCCGAGTCTGGTCCATAGGACTGAGGGGCAGTCGGTCACTCTCAACTGTACTGTCCGTGATACAAGTGCTGGAGCAGCAAGGTGGAGCAGAGACACAGGCAGAGGCAGACAGCCCTTCTTCAATACAGGAGGTGGGGCCAGTGACCCCCGCGTGACCTTTATATTAGATAACCATCTAACAGACAAGTCCATCAGAATAGACAACCTGACCCTGGGGGACTCTGGGGTCTATTACTGTGACAAGTACAGACCAGGTCCCTCCAGTGAGATCGCAGTCCGAGGACCAGGAATGAATCTGACAGTGACAGGTGAGTGTCTTTAATCTCACTCCACTCTCTCCAGGATCAGAGCTCTCCCAGGGGCAAGAACAGATAACCTCAATAACCAGAGCTGCTCCAGTATTCACCCAGGCCTGATCCTGAGAGGTGAAGATACTGTACATCACATGGGGGTGAAAACGTGACATTGTCAATGTGTCTCAGTGTGGCAGTATTAACAATGGGTCAGTAGTGTTGTATTCACAGTGGGCCAGTATGCTGTAGTCACAGTGGGTCAGTGTGAGTCAGTGTGTTGTAAGCAGCAAGTCAGTGTGAGTCAGTGCTGTAGTCAAGGCGTTAAAACCTCTGACGTTGGAGTGGCTTTGTCAAACCAGGAACAATTTGGTGCCATTAATAAAAATGGTCCCAAATGTTCCCACTCTCTTCAGGAGCCAATCAGTGGCTTCATGAGAAGACCCGATCCACAGTGAATTACAAGAAAGCCACAAGAATAACATCTGAATGAAGTAGTTAAGATTTATATGATAGGTAAGAAAAAAAATAATGGAAAGACATAAAATGGAAAAGGGGAATATTAATATTGTAAGTAATGTTATTCCTCATTTAAACATTTTAATAATACATGTAAGTGTAACAACTTACACTGCCACCTAGAAATATAGACTCTTACAGCTTGTAGATCTAGACTCATATATTTGTTTAGTCAGGCTTTTCATCAGTGTCTGTACTTCTCCCTTTTCCACTTATAATTGACACCTTTATTTCTTTGTTTGTGTATCGTGTTGTTCTGATTTAATTTCCCTATTTTTTGTGAGTTTTGTGTTTTTACCTTGTAAAGTGCCCCAAACACTGCAGGGTGACATG